TAGTGACGTTTTAAGGATCGTGCTCAGCACGACCCATGAAGGGTAATTTGGGTATTTTGTAAAATAAAGGTAGAATGCTACAATTGGGTGGATTTTCAATGTACAATGTCTAAATAAGAAAAAACTAAAGCTGAATGTTGTAAATGAAAAAATCAAACTACGATGTTATAATTGGATGAATTTATCAAAAACAATGTCCTAAATAAGAAAAAAAATGATAATACTCAAAGCATCCCAATTACATGACATATTAAACTCACCTGAAGTTTACATGAACGATTCTACTTCTTTTAGTATGCCCCCTGTAAATTCACATCCTTTACATATAGAAAAACAAGCATTTAATCACTAGTTTCAAACAAATTAAACATAAAAACTGGAATTCAAAAAACCAAATTCTCATAATTATTAATATAATTTTGGATGCGAAATATATAATTCCTCATAGCTCTCATCTATTTTCTACAGAAATTCAGGTAACCCATGCTGTAATTGATCGTAAATGCATCTTTGGTTTCAGAATTGTTTTATAGAAAATTCTTAGAAATGATTTTTCTGGAAATAGAGACCAGTATTTTAAAGATTATAATCCACCTACTTAGGGGTGTTTAGGAATACTTTTTGAACTCTAAAAACACTTTTAGATAAAAGTGTTTATTGGCTTATATATAGTGGTGGTAAAAGGAGTTTTTTAAAAAGTGTTTAGATTTGCTTTTATGGTGAAAAAGCCAATAAGTCAGCAAGTTAAAAAGTGTTTGGCTTAAAAACTCATTTATGAAGTTATTTTGGTTAAAAAACTAAAAGCAGTTTCAAAAAGCCAAGTTTTACATGCTTTTTTGAAGCTAATCGAAAAGCTACTATGAGAAATGCTTTTGAGTTTGTCAAACACATTTTTTGACTTATTAGCTTTTTAAAAAGCCAAGTCACTCAATCCCAAACACCCCCTTAATGTAGTTATTAATCAAAAACTAGAAGATTAAAATCTGGAAAACGGCAGACCACAATTGAGAAATACAACTTACTTTATTTTTCATTTTTTTGAATAGGATACTTGCTGTTTCCAAAATTCCAGAATTTAGGATACAACTTACATCTTGCTTTCATTCTTTTATTTAAATAAATAAAAAGAGCTATCTATGTCTGCACATAGAGAACACTACCTTAAGGTGAACTCGTCATATGTTAGAAATTGGGATTATACGAAATAAGGGTAGTGTTTTTTTTTTTGTTAAATAAATGAACTAATGACCAAAATAAACAAAATAAGTAAAAGGAAAACCAGAATATGCAAGCATCCACATTGAGGTAAGCAAGAAACCATTGAAAGCCTTGAAAAATAACTCAAAATAATGTCTCCATACCTGATTCGAGTAGAAGAGAGACTCCTGAGAGAATGACAAGGTGAAATTGGTGATAGGCAGAGGAAGAATCCGCTTCTTGATACGCAGTTTACCAAGAGGTGAGATATACTCATATACGAGAGGAAGACCAGTGAAGCGATTGGGATAGAAAATTGCCTGAGTAAATAGAGATTATTTGAGAGCTATATAGATTGGCACCACGAGCAAGATATATGAGCCGAGTGAGGAAGGTGATCGATCGCAGTTCAGATTGAATGCATGAAATCGGAGTTTCCCTCGTAGGTTCAATTATTTTTACTGTTTTTTAATAAGACTTTTTTTTGACTTTTTGCTATTAATGCCAATAAAATTTTATCTTTTATTAAGTCTCATGCAAAAATGCCAATAAAATTTTATCCTTTATTAAGTCTCATTTCATTATAATCAATAATTTTTTGAATCTAAACCAACAATTGTTTCTTACAAACCAACAAACATCATCCTCCTTAATAAATGAAGGTCTTTTTGCCACATGTCAATCTTTCATGAGTTTTGACTCTTGTCATTTTATGGTATTTTTGAAATAAATATTATCCACTTGTCAAATTTTGGTTTGTTTCAATTTTTAAAATTAAAGTCATATACTTATATATGTAAAGTATTAAATATCATATATATCATATTAAATTGCAAAAATACATTTCTTTCTTTCTTATTTTAAAATTGTACATTAAAAAATATTTTGTGTTTACACTTTAATGTTTAATCTTTTTTTAAATCAACCCGTGTAATACACGGGTCTCACACCTAGTATTTAAATTAAAACCAATAATTGTTTTAATCTAAACCAACATCATCTTAAATTAAATCAACAATTCGCTTGTTACAAAAACCAAAAGAAAAAAAAACATTTTGAATAAATTGATTCAATAACCACTATATGCAAAAACAAAAAAATAAAATAAAGATAAAAAATAAATGAAAAAATAAAGTCATATAAACTTTTTTGATTCCACAAAGGTTCACATTTCTTCTTTCTTTAATGTACACTCAATTTCGTAGTGTTGTTTAGCGCGGACGTCCTGTTTTATTCCATAAGAGTTCTGTAACAGCCCAAATTATAGAAAATTTTAATTTTTATAATCATAAATACCAACCACAATTGTTTCCAGAAAATCTCATTACATGCCTATAGTGTTTTAAAATATCAGAGTATCAAAACTAAATATGAAAACACTGGAGAATGCACGTTGCGCCATCAAGCCGGACCTTTGTCCTTAGAACTAGAAGTACCTGAAAGCACACGCTTAGTGAGTTTTCCCAAAGCACGCAAAACATATACTCACATAATGTCATGCATACATACATATAAATTTGCCATGGACTCCCTCCATGGTCTTCATTTGGAATGCTATGGGCTACCACCATGGTCTTGTATCCCCTAGCCATGATCTCCTCCCATGGTCTTGCCAAGTGTCATGGACTCCTCCCATGGTCTTCATATAAGTTCACACATATATCAAATAGTAACCATTACATACTCCATTACTAATCATATCATATCAATTAATGGGCCGACCTTGGTGCCTTCGACCCATGAGTGTAGTGAGAGGACTCACCTCGAATACTGAACGATAGCTGACTGGGTCCCAGCTCTGAATATCAGCTCCAATCAACCCCTATACAGAAGAAATTTCTTAAATACACTCAAAATACCCCAAAACCCCTTAAAGGTCAAACTTGGTCAAAGATTAAAGTTAAAGTCAAAGTCAACGGTCCGAGTTGACCCAACACACCGAGTTGTCCTTCAACTTGTCGTGTTTCTCCATTAACTGCAAAGATCGGAAAAAATCTCATCAACTCGCCAAGTTCACTAATGAACTCGCGGAGTTAGCCAGAAATCCAAGAGCTT